TTCTTCTGGTGGAATCGACCTTCGAATATCTTCACTAAACATTTTAACTCGAAATGGAAGTAAGCACAACAATAGCAAGCACGTCCATGATCGAGACTGAGATGAGGCAAAGACTGCCGTACAGCCTAAGCTGATAAGCTCTTGAGCGGCAGATCAAATATAATTCATTGTAATGGTGGACTATTATTTTCGAAGTCAGCTCGGATATTCAGCATTGGAGCACTTTACCTCTCTGTCCACTGGTAGCTAATGGTTCTTACGCCTCTAACTTCCTCACAACGCAATCCCAACAAAGGCTAGAATATGCTGTATAGATATTAGTTCTTATTAAAGATTTACTATCTTCAAGCTTTACTTAGTAGAAATAAAAGATAGCTTGCTAATAAAATGAGGCACTCTAGAGAGCTTGAGATGATGTAGGAAATGTTAGATTATTTCCAACAATGAAATAAGATTGACTTAAATGTTGATTCGACCTTGTTTTCGCAACTTGGTCGCAGCATCAGAGATTCCTTGCGGAACTCACCTAGTCCTGTGTCCTCTGCCATAGTATTCGTGATTTCCAGCTTCGGACCATTGACTCTGTACACTCCCAAACGTTTCAATGGCTTTGTAGTCGGCATCGTCACTCAGAGGCACCATCGTTACTACAGAATTACAACTTATCAAAGAAACAAGTAAAGGCCAATCTTCTGTTCAACCGCTGTGGCATCGCTCCTAACTCCTATTTTTCGTTCTACCTTCTAGTGCTACATCCGTTTCTCTCAACCATTTGCGGAATCGGAGAAAGGGGGCAGATTATAGGTCAGGAGCTCTGCAAGCGGCACCTGGTATCGGTGGTAGAGACGAGTACGCTTCAATAAACCCAATTGTAGCGACACACTCTTAGACGGCATTGGAGACGAGAGCACAAAATTATGTGAATAGCTAGATGGGCCATATGAAATGCGGTCTCCTTGACGTTGTGACCAAGTTTCAAAAAGAAGGTCAAGCCAATACTATAAGGTTAAAGGTGACTGCGGCCAAACAAAAAGCCACACCATCTTGGTTTTCATATGTAGGATTAACTTAAGCTTAGCTTTAATTTTGCATACCCTCGACCCTCAACCGGCTTTATAACAATGTTGTTTAACTCACTTCCAGTTTAAGGGAAAGTGTTTGGCCATGAGATTCGAATGTCGATCGCACCAGAAGATGACGGTGGATCCTTTTTGACCAGCTGTCGATAGGCCTTACTGGGTCTTCTTGTTGACTTTGTTTTCGAGGCAA